TGTTTTGCGTTCCTTTATGAAGGAAGAGAAAGTTGATAGACTGTTAGTTTGTCCAGTGTCATTGGAGAGGTGGCACTGTCACCCTCCAATCTGCTGTCACTCTTAGAAAACTATAAATGTTAGACTCAGAAAATGAACTTCGCTTTTTATTCACCTTGAGAACAGCGGTGTGCGCTTGTGATGTTTCATGTCCTATAGCGACAGTACAGCATGGGGCAGCACAGCCTGGGGGGGACAGGGGTCCTTGCCAGCCCTGCTGCCACCTCCCCTCTCCTGCTGCTGTTTTGCAGGAGCCCTGGAGATCCGGCAGGCGCTGCCTGCACATTCTGGCCGCTACACCTGCACGGCCCAGAGCGCCGCGGGCACGGCCCGCAAGCACCTCTGGCTCACGGTGCACGGTAAACACAGTCCCGGGCTGCTGCTGCTGAGGGTCCTGAGCCCTCTGCCCGAAGTGGCACTTCCCTGCCTCCACAGAGCCCCCTGCCTTGAAGCCCCTGCCCGGCATGGTGATGGTGATGGTCAATGCCAGCGTGGTGCTGTCCTGCGAGGCCACAGGCATCCCCCGGCCGGAGGTCACCTGGCAAAAGGATGGTGTTGGCATCACTGGAGGTGAGCAGAAGTGAGCTGGGGGCTGGCAGAGCCCACATCACCTGCCAGCCTTTACCTGGGGGGAGACTGATGTGCCAGGGGTTTGTCACTGTGCATGGGTCCTGCTGGCTGCTGTCCTTGGTGGGTGTGGTGGCCGCTGGAGCTGTTCCATGGAGACTCCTTGGGAAGAGGCACCTCTGTGGGGGAAGCAGTCCCTGCACATCATCCATGTGTGCCCTGGCTGAGCTGTGCTGCCCCATCCTGTCCCTCGTTTCTGCCAGGCTCTGGGCTGAAGGTGCTCCCCAGAGGGCAGCTCCGGCTCCTCCGAGCAGCCCCAGAGGACGCCGGCACCTACCTGTGCATGGCCCGGAACCCCTCGGGCACCGCTGCNGCTGGGCACGGGGGTCCCCTCCGCTGCATGTGAGCTGGCTGAAGGACGGGCTGCCCCTCCGCCTGTCCCCTCGTGTCACCCTGCTCTCGGCTGGCCACCTCCTCCGGTGAGAAGGGACCCTGCAGCCATGGTCAGGCTCTGGGGCTGCTGCACCCTCAGGTGTCACCCTGGGGAGCAGGGGCTCACCCGGAGCTGATGTCCCCTCCCCATCCCCGTGTCCCACTCCGCGTTAGGATCTCCCAGGCTCAGCTCTCCGATGCTGGACTCTACACCTGCGTTGTCTCCAGCCGGGCGGGAGTGGCCGATCGCAGCTTCGTCCTGCAGATCCAGGGTACAGGGCAGGGGCTGGGAGGGCACGGCACGGGCACCTGGGCACTGCTTGTGTTGGCAGAGCACACTCTGTGCACTGCACCCATCTCCGAGCAATCCCGAGCCATTCCTCCGCTGCTGGGGTGGGAACAAAGCAGGACCAGCCTGGGAGCAGCCCCAGAGCCTCCTGCAGGAGGGCTGAGCCGCCTCTGGGCTGCTCGCAGGATGTGACCCTGTTCACAGGGGTGCAAGGATGAGGGAAGAGATGAGGATCTGACTCCGTGTTTCAGAAGGCTTGATTTATTATTTTATGATATATATTATATTAAAACGATACTAAAAGAATAGAAAGAAGGATTTCATCTGAAGGCTGGCTAAGAATAGAAAAAGAAAGAATGAATAACAAAAGCTTGTGTCTCAGACAGAGAGTCCGAGCCAGCTGACTGTGATTGGCCATTAATTAGAAACAACCACAAGAGACCAATCACAGATCCACCGGTTGCATTCCACAGCAGCAGATAATCATTGTTTACATTTTGTTCCTGAGGCCTCTCATCTTCTCAGGAGAAAAAAATCCTAAGGAAAAGATTTATGATAAAAGATGTCTGTGACACGCAGGACAGCAGGGAGTGGCCAAACCCGGCCCCGGTGTCCGGGGTTTCTCTGCCTTTTCTCCCCAGTGCCCCCTGTCCTGGAGAGCCCCGAGAGCAGCGAGGAGCAGATGGTGGCCCAGGGCTCTGATGTCACCTTCACCTGCAAAGCCACCGGGTCCCCAGCACCGACAGTGACCTGGCTGAAGAACGGAGAGCCCCTGGGGCAGCAGAGGGCCCAGGTGCCCAGGGGCCCACAGCTGAGCCTGGTGGCTGTGGCACCAGCTGATGCAGGCATTTACTCCTGCCTGGTGGTGAATGAAGTGGGGGAGGTCAGCAAAGCCTTCCACCTCGTGGTGATGGGTATGTGTCATCCCTCTGGGATTTGGGAAGGGCAGCTTAGCCAGTTTTTTGGGAGCAATGAGGGGATGAGCCCTCCTGCCTTGCTGTGTGCCTTGCAGAGCCACCCCGTGTCAAGGCTGGGTCCCATCCCACGGAGATATCCATCGCTGTGGGCACCCCTCTAGGGCTCAGGTGTGTGGTGACAGGTGTCCCCATGCCCACTGTCACCTGGGAGAAGGATGGACAGCTGCTGGCAGGGCCCTCGCTCATGACAGGGAATGAGAGCACGCTCCACATTGACAGCACTGAGGTAGGAGTTCCACTTTTTTATCCCTGCCTGGATTTTGGTTTTGTGCCTCAATTTTCCCCTCTCCTGGCTTTGCAGGTGGCTGATGCTGGCTTGTACACCTGCCTGGCCACCAGCCCTGCAGGGGAGGACAGCAGGAGCTTCCATGTCAGCATCCAAGGTAGTGTGATCCCTCAGAGCAGCGAGGAGCAGAGGGGGCTGTAGGATGCTCCAACCCCTGGGGGACCACGGAGCCAGAACCTCCTTTTTTGGGATTGATGTGGGCTCCAAAAGAGGGATCTGGAGCCCAGTGCTGGTTCTGCAGAGTGGGGGCCTGTGCATGACTGATGGGGACAGGGATGGGGGTGCCCAGCCCACCCTGACCCCCCTTGGGCCATGTCCCACAGCACCCCACAGCACTGAG